GCATTACTTTCCACTCAGGACCCCATGGTCCAAGTCTTTTATCTGCAGGAACAGGACATCATCACTGGCTTCTTCATCTGATCCTCAGACTGTGGCACCCCAGAATCTGATGAGATCACTGTTATTAAAGGAGAACTGTAGCCTGATTCCTACAATACCACCTGCTAGGTGAAGGGAAATCAGACTGCTTTCAGCAGGACAGCCCATGGAGATACTTAAGCCATTTGGGACCTAGTGTGGTTAATGCCCACCTTTGGAAAGTGTCCCTGCTCCAGATCACCTGCTGTCAGCTATCAGACCTGTGCTTGGCCAGCAGCGGTGCATGTGCGCTGGCCTCTGTCCCCCGGCTCCTCTGGGCCTTCAGTGCTCTCAGCTTCAATGTGGCTTTTCAATGGTCATCACTTTGTCTAAGCCAAGAAAATGTTGCTGAAGACCGCACTGTCTTATCTACATTGCTTGAACCTTTGTCTATATTAGGGTCTTTCCACCTACTTTTGATGTAGAAGAGTCATATTTGAAGAGGATCAGTGTATCTTCAAGAGCCACAATCTTAAGAACAGTGAAAACCTGGGTTCATGCTTGCTGTCTGTGGCAAGTTGCTTGTCCTTAAAAATGTCCAGTGAACATTTCATGGCCCTAAGACCTCTGCTTGGCCACCACAACTTAGATTTACATCTTTGGCCAGGAGCGCATTTCACCCACCCTGCTGAGTATCTGGTAAAACAGGGACATAAACAGTGGGGAGCTGCTGAGCCTATATAAGGTGAAGGGCAAAAAGTAAGGGGCCTCTAAAGGAACCCAAATCCAGTTTTGTCCTGCTCTTCTTCTACTGATACTCTTCATGAAAACGTGTCATCCTCCACCTTTTGTGGCCAAACTTTTGGATAATCTGCATCCACACCACCAGCAACCGCACTGTCTGGTTTCTAGTCAACAAGGACCTCCTGTGGGCTCAGGACCCCTGCCAACCCTTGGCAAACTCCTCTACCTAGCCCTTCCCTGTCACTCAAGAACCATACCTAATGTCAGACAGGTGGTTGGGCTAGCAGATGAGGCTCCATCAATTCAGCAAGGGTAAATGATCTGGTATCCTTTCTGAGAATCAAGCATTCTTGGCCCACCCCTATTCAGCAGTATCAGGAGCAGATGACAGAGTGCAATGCCCTGGAGGAAAAGAAACCATCTTTCGTCTTTAAGCTTCATCTGTCTGACTGCATCTCATTCCAGCCCCTCTCTTCTCTCTCCTCACTCTGCCTGTCTCTCTCTCCTTCCTTCTCCAAAAACGGAAAGCAAAACAACTAGAAAAATAGGCTTTCTAATTTTCTTCTCCTCTGATTATATTCAGAGGGAAATAGGGACATAGTCTAGTAAGGTCAAGTGCCAGAGTTCTCTGGCCCTCTTTTTTATACCCTCTTCCCAAGCCATCTTTCCCAAGTCCTAGAAAGTCCAAAGGAAGATAGACCCAAGGCTATGGGATTGAAGGGCTGAGATGGGCATGAGTCCCAGGGATTATTAATTACCTGGTTCTATGCAGTGTTCTTTTAGACTAATCCTAGTCCAACACTACCACCTCCCTCCCCCATAGCATACACACTCCTTCCTCCCTACTGTGCCCAAATTTCCAAGAAACCTCTTAGATATTTCTTGAACATTAGTCTGAAGGGAAGGCAGAAGAATGTTATGGGAATGAGATTCTATTAGGGGTGAAAGTAAATTCTTTTAAATGATTAAACTAAAACTAAAATAAAGTAAATAAAAGAGTGAGTGCATAGCTCTAAGAAGTTTGGCTACCCTACCTTTATTTCTGAAACAATGTGAGGATTTTGATTATCAAGTGTGAGAAGATCTACCAAGATAGGCGAATTCTTTAACCTTTGATAATAGTAGCTATAATAATATGTGAGACAACAGTTGTGCATAATATTTTTAATATTTTATCCCCTTATTTATGTTCAGAAAAAGATGTAAGGTTTTTAGACATTTTCATAAGCACTATCTTTACCATCTTTGTGACTAGTTTAGCCATCCTATCTAATGTCATTCAAGAACAAGTTGAGGATGCTGAAAACAGAAGAGATGCACTATTTTAGACGGTGTCTGTTATATTTAAAATTATACTTTAAAATACTGAGATAATTATAAAGGAATTCAAAATGCAGTTAACCTTTTGGACAGATTATTATTTTTTTTTGGTATATTTACAATGTCCATTTGTTTAACTGGCTTAACTCAAGAAAACAACCTCAACAGCAACTGTAGGCAATAAATTATGCTTTCACTTTTCTTGCTCTCTGACAAAGTTGACTGATTTTTTTAAAAATGGAATCCACTAAAATTTCCCTATATACTTAATTTTGCTAAACTTGTAAAGACCTGATTTAGATGAAAGGAAGAGAGAGAAGAAAGGAGCTTCTGCCAAGATTTTCAGGTTAAGATGCTGTAAAGAAAAGCATTACACAGATATATTACCTGCACTGTACAGAATCTAGGTACTTAAATTTTTTTAAGCAATTACCTATTCATTCATGTACTCACTAATGCTATTCACCAAATATTTCTGTGTCTTCTTTGGGGATAAGGTTGCATTTTCCCATCCCCTTTGCATTAAGCATAGCCATGGAACTTGGTTTGGTGAGTGAATCTGCAGAAGAAGCTATATATGTCCACCTGGGAGAAAGCTTTAAGAGCTCGTGTACATTTTGTAGGAACCCCCTTTCCTCTGCCATGGCATCCAGCTCCAGGTGAAAAGGTTCTATTAGCCTCGTTCCTAGAGTTAAGAGATTGGGCATAGTGTTCCTCCCTTCCACCCCAATTCTTTAACCCAAATGATTATGTAACAGGAATCAGAAATAAACCTTTATTATTAAAGGGCATTAAGATGTGGAAATTACATTGTTACTGCAGCATAATCTAGCCTTGCATAATGGAAACATCTTTACTTTTTTCTACATGTTGGGTGTTTATGAATAGTTGTGAGTATTTCACATCTTAATACAGGCCATTGTTTTTTTATATCTATTTCTTGCCTAGTTCTTGATTTTATTATTTCTGATACTTATTTATTTATTTTGGTACAAATTCTAGAAATACATTTAATGGAACTCAGTAAACTTTTGCTGGTAATGCAGATGATGCTGTGCAGAGGAGGCACGTGATGACAGGAGAGATCGTGGTCCAGGGGCACAAACGTTCAGGGCGACTGCAAAGCAGTTCAGTTCATGCAAGTGATTCACTGCCTGTATGTTCTAATATCTGACAACTGGAAGTCAGTTTCAAAGTATATGGGTAGCAGTAATCTAGATTTTAAACATTGCATAGAAATACAAAAGGATAAACAAATGTGAGGATTAGCGATGAACACTGTGTGTCTAAGGGGAAATGATAAATGGCCATATATTAGACATCTGTTAATTCATCTTCAGCGGGAAGTCCTTGGGGGAAGTATGTTCTTTGGAATAAAACCTTTGTCAACTCACGTTGCATGTCTTTCAGTTCTTATCATATGATTTCATTTCTACTATTCTAGCATCAGAAAATAGGTCTTGAAGTGAAAATTTTGAACTTCCTGATAAGTCTGAGAGTATTAGAATCACTTTTGGTGCAGTAAGATCCTGAAAATTGAGTGGTAATTTTGGCAATCCTAATCTCATGAGTTTAGGTGTTCTTATCATATTCCCTAAATTAGTAATCAATGAAATTAATGCAGCACATATTTTTAATCTGAGTGTTAGAATACATTCACGTGAAATTTAATGATGACTATTAAATCTTAACTAATACAATATTTTGTGATTCTTGGTATATTTATACTGGAAGCATCCCCAGTCATTTAGAAGAAATTTTTCCTACACAGATCTATATGGCACACAGACCTACATGGTGCTTGTGAAATGAATGGTTGAAATGAGCAAATGATCATATAGACTTATTGTAACTATGGTAAACACAGTTGATCAGTATATTCATTTGGTAGCTATTTATTAAATAGCTATACTTTCGATGCTATGATAAGCACTATGAATACAGAGATGAAAAAGACATGGTCCCATTCCTAAAGAGTTCACATCATAGTGCAGGATATTTATTAATTATACATATTGATGACATAGTGGAGGATACCGAATGATTACAACATATATAGATGCCTGTTGATTATATATATACCGATTATAGCCCATTATGAAAGCTATAGCAATGAGGTCTTGTGGGTGCTGTTGAAACAATAGGAGAAAGGACTAGTTCTACTAAAAACTAATGGAAGTACTATGGAGAGCTTTACAGAAAAGAGGATAATGGAATTGGACATTTAATATAATATTTCATCACGTTGGTCCAATTAAAATATTAAAACTGTTGAGGATTTTACTGCTGTATCTACTTGGGATAATTAGAGAACTTTCCTCTGAAAATAAGTTGTGCCTAACTTTGATGCCATGTTCTTTCTACACATTGGAAACTTAGGAATTCTAACTTGAGGCAAATATTTAAAATATTTAATAAAAGGAATGGCCGTTCAGAATGCATGCAGACAGTAGAACTAGCACAGAGTCAGGGAAGACTCCAGCAGGTCCTCTTACCTCTTTAACAGTAGGGTTATGGATGGGCTTCTGAACATCAATTTCTCACCTCTCAAATATAACCAGTATTGAAAGTTTGGAGATGACAGGGTGGCTTTGTAAAAGATCATTATTTGGAAATTGCCCAGGAAAAATGCTGACAATTCTGTTTTCATGGAGGGTAATTATTTTACATCCCCGTTGTCCCAATCTCAGTGTTCATCTATGGTGATAATGTTGATGAACAGCCCTGTGGTGAGATGTCGGTATTTGGCTGTGGCTTGTTTGCAAACTTTGCAGTGATTATGCTCAGTTGTCTAATTGCTTAATTTATTGATGTTTTGCTGACATGTTTTTCAGCAGCATTTGTGATTGCAGATAACTAATCATTTCTGTTGTGGCTCATTAGCATACGTTTGCATTTGGTTTGTCTGATTGCTGCAGGTGGAGACAATAGGTGATGCATACTGTGTTGCAGCAGGACTCCACAGGAAAAGTCTGTGCCACGCTAAGCCCATTGCTCTGATGGCCCTGAAGATGATGGAACTTTCGGAAGAGGTGCTGACACCTGATGGACGACCAATTCAGGTAACTCAGCAACCTGGTTTGAGTTGTAATGCACCTTTTACCGAAAGGGGTAAGAAGTTGCCTTCTGAATTCTACTTATATAATTTACAAACTTAGACAATTGGGTACTCAAGGAGGATGACAGATAACTGAAATAATGTAGAGATCCAGGAAAAGAACAAATGGAATAAGGTCCAAAATAGGAAAAGGTGTGTGAAAAGCAAATCACCATGGAAAAAAGAAAGAACCGAAGAATCAGACCCAGGCGGGAAGTTGTTATTAGTGAGAACACCGCGACCAGGTGAGGGCGACAGTGAGATCAGAAACCAGGTGAGGGCGACAGTGATATCAGAGTCCAGAATCCCCAATACAAGAAAATAAGAAGCCAGAAAACGAGAACCAGGAGAGCTTCTGTGCATAGTGTACAGGTAGGTGTTCTTTATGAAGTCTCAGAGTTACTTCTGCAACTTGTTATATGGCAGAGCTTGAAGGTTGGAGCCTAATAACTGAGGAAGCTTTAAAAATGGTAGAAAATGTAGCTCTTGGTGTGTTTTACTGTTCTTAATACTAATGGCTTTCTGCAAACTGGGAGCTGCCTCTGGGAAAGGATGAGATTACCTAGCTGTAGTTTGGCCAGAACCCAGTGGATCCCTGAAGTATTGTTACTATGAAATCTTATAAACTAGAATCTTGTATTTGGAGGTAACCTTGAATTTAAAAGGCATCCCTTTTATAACAGCTCACCAGCTATGGGTTAACAATACAGGGAAAAAAAGCCTCAAAATGTGAGTATATATCTTGTCCAGACATTATGAAAAATCAGATACTCTGAGCTTCCTTCTGCTTAAAATTATTAAAATTAATAAAATTCAGTGTTATTTTAAAAATATATTTTTAAGAATTATTAAGCACATCATTGAGCTAATAGGAAGGAGAGAAATGTACCAATCACATGGTATATATAGATTGAGCAAAATTTAAATGGTGAATTTAAATCAAGTGCTCTGCTATTGGCAGTGGCAGTAAGAAACTAAGATATACTATTCCTGCCTAGAGGAGGTGAACTTTAATTCCATCCTCAAGTACTTTCCACAAAGTGCCCTGGGAACTAAGTGGCTAATCCTAAAACAAAATAAAAAAGAAATATATACTCACATAGGAAAACAAAGTAATGTGGTTAAGAGCCAGTAGAACAACAGATGAGAAAAAGACAGTGGAATGTTGCCAGTTATCAAAATTTTCAGACAGAATTTAAATAACAAAAGACATGAAAGAGAAGCTTTAAAGTATATGGTGGAAACAGTAGATTTGAAAAGGAACCAGAGAACTTCTAAGCAATCAACATAATACTTAAAAAAATAGAAAAGAACTCAGTGGATGAGTTTAAAAGCAAATTAGACACAACTGAAGCAAAAGTTAATACACTGGAAGTTGTATCTGAAGAAATTGTCTATAACTTAGTCCAGAGACTTAAAAATGTGTAAATATGAACAAGAGAATGTAAGCTTTAAAGTATGTAGGAGATGTAGAGGTGAGAGTGGGAAAGTCTATGTTGAATTGTGGCTCCAAATGGAGAAAAGAGAGGAAATACAAAAGAGGGGATTTTGTTCTGGAGCTATCAAAAGACATTAACCAGTTTTCAGGCACAATAATGCTAAATAATTCTACATCATAGTAATTCAAAACCAGAGATATCCTAATGATATTGTGTACATCAGAGGAAAAAGGACTTGATAAATAACAAAGTTGACATTGATGTGTGGGAAAAGGATGGGCTATTTAATAAATAGTTTGGGACAAATTGGTTATCCATGTGGGAAAAAATATTGAAATTAGATTTCTGTTTCATCAGTCTGCATATAAAGCAATTCCAGATGGATTAAATACTATAGAACTATAAATTTATAATTAGGAAGTTTTGATTTAGAGTAGGGAGCAATATTTTTGTGTAAGTTAGTCAGGTCAAAAATTTTCAAATCATACAGGAAAATATTTGTGAATTTACTGCATTAAAATTAAAACTTTCCTGTTTATCAAAGAACATGTAAAAAGAATAAAAAGATAACCTCTAGGAGGATTTTTTGGAGAACTAGGAGAAACTAGGAGAATTTTTTACAACACATTTAACCAATGGAAGTATCTTTGGTTAACCTCATTAGTAGTTAGATTAATATATATCGGTAACACTGTAATATAACATTCCCACCTACTAGTTTGACACAACATTGAAAGTCTGATGGTGCCTCTGTTGGTGAGAATGTGAAGCTGCAGGAAATCTCACATACAGCTGACTGGGAGTATAAATGGTCCAATGTACTTAGCATTAAAGTAGTTAAGCTTAATTTGTGCCTTCCTACAGCCCAGCAATTCCTCTCCTAGGTGTTGGCCCCAGGGAAGTACATGTACATTGTAGCATAAGTCACACACAAGATTATTCACAGCAATACTTCCATATAGTCTCAACCTGGAAATAACTCAAATATCCTTCTAATAGAATGGATAAATGGTGATATATTTAATACCTTGGTATATCATACAGTTGAGAAAATGAATGACTTCAGCTACTAACATCAACATGGATGAATATCCAAAACATAATATTGAGCAAAAGAAGCAAATCATAGAAGAATGTTGTAGCACTATTCCATTTAATTAAATTTCAAAACTAGGAAAATTGAAAAAAATATGCTGTTTAGAAATACCTGCATTGATGGAGAAAATGTGAAGTAAAGAAAGGGAATGATTAATACAAAATTTAAGGTGGTGCTTAACTCCAAGGGAAAGAAAGATGATAGGAAGGGGGAGAGCACATAAGGAAAGTGAACATAGGGGTTACAGGGCAGACTTGTTCATTTTACTTCTGTTCTTTAAAATGCACATATATGTTAATATTTGAGAACTTTAAAAGGCAGAAACAGAAATAATTTCCTAACCACTCCCACCAGTGGTAAAAATAGGAAAGGATGGAGCATTAAAAAGAAATCTATTTTAAGTCCCCTTAGGACATAATTATCAAGTTATTTAGTATGAATGGCACTTCCACCACTGCCAGGAAAAACAAACAAACAAAAGGAATGCTGTTTTAGATCTACTGGAGACTGCAAACATGCGCATCCCAGACTGAATTAAGATCAGTTCTTAAATTTTCAAGACTGCCAGCAGGGTAGTCTTATCATATAGGATTATTTCTCTATGTTGGATTTTTATGAGACAGAATGTTTGTATTGATTCAGCATTGTGAAAGCAAGCTTAAATTGCTATAGAACAAAACTGAAAGTTGTGTTTTGTAGTGTGCTCATCTGTATTTTCATTCGTGCAATATAACATTAGCTCTGTCTTATGAATCAGATAGTCTTACTAAATCAGAAGAGGAAATGGGCATAAAGATTTAATGCAAATGCAGAAAGAGAACTCAAAATGATAAAACCACCTCAATAATTTTAGCTTCATTACTAATTCATATTTGCATGGTTTGGGATTGGTTTTGTCACATCAATTTGACTTTGAATCAGCTTCTAACTTGGTGCCATGGGAACGATTCTAAACTTACTGAAAGAATCTTTCATTAAAAATGTTTGGATATTGCAGTAGAATAGATATGTGATCAGTTGATTGTTTACTTTTATCTAAGTTTATAGGCTATTTAAAATTTAAGCTTTTGAGTTGTAATAATTGCTCAAAACAAAACTCCCTAAACCTCTTAAATTTTGAAAAATAAATTGATAATTTTTATATGGCTTTATAAATGTTTGAGGCATCTGTCATGATGGAAAATAAGAATTTGAATTATCAATTATAATTGTTTGCAAATGATTGTTAATACCCTTGAATCATTAACTGTAAAACTGACTGGGTTAATTTAAAAATTTTTTAAAGTAACCAGAGTATATAGGATTTCAGTTATTTAGTTTATAATACCTTAGCATATTTTATTTTATGAGAACTCAGAGTCTAGGTCTAGATTATGTCTGCAAAGCATACACAAATATGGTCTATTTATACAATAAATTCTAAAAAATCAGACTGAAGTGACTTTATTAACACTGGCTTTTAAAAATAATGATTAGAAATTTTTTGATACTTTATCAATATGTTTATTTTACTGGCTGAATATATACAAGTGTCAACATTATGCCTATTCTATTTTTTCCCCTCTCTAGAGGAAATCTGATTTTCCTATATCTTAAATAATAGACAATTGAAGAAAAGTCTGATCAGATTTATATTAGCTCTGCTTTGTTTGAACTAGCTGTATAGTGATTTCGCTGGAAAATTGTATATTTTTGTGCTGCCCTTTAATCTTGTGATTTTAATCTTACCAAATATTTTGAATAGAGTTTTTAGTGCTGAAAGGCTAACTTTTACTAATAATTTACCACTCTTTGATTAAAATAACAAAATGTTTATTGCTGCCTGTGCTTTATTCTTAAAAAAAAAGGTTGGAAAAGGGAAACTGGGTTGAGGACTGACTAGAGAATGTGATTAAACATATGTCAGAAAGACAAGCAGCATTTTCATGATTTAAGGCTTTTGAAGAAGATTGAGTTAGTGTGTCCAAATATTTGAGTTTCACTTCTGGACTGCAGTCTTTAAAAAAATATTTTCATTGAATTTCATCATGTAGGCATACAAATTCAAATTCCCTTCATTAGTTCAGAGAAGAGTCCATTTATATAATGAAGCAATTATAGAGTGATTGTGAAATAAAGTTAAAAAAACAATGTGTAATCATGTCGTACCACTAACGTGTTTAGCAATCTCAACTGCAAATCAGGGAAATGTTATGAATTTCCTCTAACTGCCTAGGCTAAAGGCAAGAATTTTAACATTACAATTTACATGTACTATAATACTACATTAAATTCTACCTCTTTAAGCTTCAACTTAGTCTTCTAATGAATTTATAGGATTTTTTGAGATCATGAAATAATTACTCTTCAGTTAATTTTTAAGTACTTGCTATTTATAAAGGAAACCTGATGGTATTGTATTATTTAGAGGGATGGATCTTAGTAAGTATT